GCACATTTCACCAAAGTATAGGTGTTACATTAAATATTTCATGCATATGTTATTCCTTTAGTAAAGACAAAAAATGAAACAATTTCAAGTCATCAACAGCTCTAATCACATACAAGAAGAATGAATACATTTTGTTACAGAGTTAAAGACACTGTGGTTTAAGTCAAATAGCAAGATCTAGTGAGTCAGACTTTGAAATCTGTTCAAACACAAATAAGAAATGGTGATCTTTATAGCTAAAAATACCAAATAAGGTGTTTAGCTTTAGAAATGAGATAAAAACAAAACTTGGAAAGCATTTACTCTAAGCACATTATTTAAAAGCCAAGCCAGTGTCACCCAGCAAAGCATCTAATAATAAAAATTTTCCCTATGTCAACCTTCTATGCTTCATGATCTGATTCAGTTAATTTTAAAAGAGCTTGATTTACAATTTCTTTTCTAAACCATCAATGCAGGTAAACATTCTAACTTTAACTTCTTGCCTTGAAGCAAAGTTATGTGCTACTTTTCATAACCTATTTGTCAAGATTTCCAGGAAGTAGCAATCTGGTAGCAATTTGGTGGTGTTTAAACTCAATGTCAGAAACACTGTCAATATTATTACACCTCAGCTTCATACATCAGAAAAGTACAGGCAAAACACGTGGTAATGCCTATAAGAACTGCAAATATAGGTCATGGGAGGAAATCACCAGCCTATAGGACATATGAAGTGGCTTTCAACATATTCTAGTTTTTGGGTGGCCACTGTCAAAATTGGGCTGAGTGAGAGTCTGAAGATGGAGTTAGTGATCTAGGAAGACTGACAAGGCGATCTCAAAGCCTTGCCTGCCCGTGCAGAGGTGGGAGGGACTGACTTGTTAGCTCTCTTCTGGATGTAGTCTTGTATTGGGGTCCTGCAATCTCTCATGCCCACTCTCTGCAACTTCTTTCTTCTGTAAAAACCAGTTCTCCCACAAGCAACCCAGCCTCTGGTGTGTGTAGGAGGCAGGAGATTCTGCCCTCACAGTACTAAATAACTGCAGGCAATATAAAGCAGAGACTAAATCTTGTTTTATTTTGCTTTGCTTTTCATTTTTTGTTTTGGTTTTTAAGATAGGCTAAGCCCAGGCTGGCCTGGAACTCAGTATGTAGCAGTGGCTTATCTAGAAACTCCTGATCCTGTCAAGTGCTGGGATCTAAATTGTGGTTCTTACTTGCAAAACACAGACTGGTCTCTACTTAATTTAAGCTGAAAAGGAATTTATTGAAGGAAGTTCAGAGAATCAACAGGAAGACTGGAGAAGCAGGCTCATACAGGAAACTAGGTGTGTGGGTGTGTGTGGGGGGGTGGCATCCTAGGTCCAGCTATGGGGTTGGTCTGAGATGCAGGTATCTGGACATGTGCTGCCAACCACTACCGGATATTCCTACTACTGGACACTCACCTGCTGTTGGGCTCTTAGTTTCACCATGACCACTACTGGTAGTCTGAGTCCCCTTTAAAACTCAGATTTCTAGGAGGCCAGCTAGATGTCTCAGCAGGTAAGTGCTTGCTGCCCAGCTTGAGGACTTAATGTTCCATTCCCAGGACCCACATAGTAGAACGAACACACACTGTCATCTGACCTTCAGGCAAGTACCATGGCACACACCCTGCCCCAAATTAAAAAGGCAAAAAGCAACAATAAAAAAAATCCCCTCAAAACTCCAGGCTGAAGCCTGGGATCAGCACTACAGGTACTCAGACAGCAGGCTTAATTTCCATCTATTGGTAGATGATTACAGACACTTCTTCCTTCCTTCCTTCTGTTTTTTCCCTTCTTTTTTTCCCCTCCTTCCCCCCCCCCTTTTTTTTTTTTTTTTGTCTTTTTTGAGACAGGTCTCCTTGTAGCCCCAGCTGTCCTGGAACTATGTAGACCAAGCTGGCCTCAAACTCACAAAGATCCGGCCTGCCTCTGCCTCCCAAGTGCTGGGATTAAAGGCATGCACCACCACGCTCGGCCTTCTTTCTCTTTTGACACAGGTCTCATGTATACCAGATACTGGCCTAGAACTCTCTATATAGCTAAGGCTAACCTTGAACTTCTAATCCCCCTGCCTCTACCTCCCCAAAACTGGGATTATAGGTGTGTACCACCACACAGGGTTTATGTGGTTATGGGGATAGAATCCAGGGCTCTACGTAGACTAAGCAAGCACTCTATTGAGCTACATCCCTAGCCCCACAGCTCTCCTTTTATAAAAGGCATCCACAACCACTTTCTGTATTAGTCCGTAGAAGGCATTAGAGAGGATGCAAAGTGCCCATTCAGCTTCTAACTTGCTGTTAAGAGAGCAGAATGAGGAGTTAACTTGCAGTAGATAAAGGCAAACTTCCTAGTTGAAAACTTCCTAGTTGAAACAGCCAGAGTTTTAGTAGCCAGAGTTGAAACTAGGAATTTAGGTATAAATCTGGGTCCAAATTGCAAGAGAACCGGAAAGAACTGAAGTCAGAGAAAAAAGTTAACAGATGATTCCAAAGTAGATGTCAAAGCACAGTCCAGACTGTGAGGAACAGCACTGGATCTGGAGAAGGAACAGAAAGCATGGGGTAAAATTCTACCCACAGATGTGAGAGCTACTAAGTTAGAAGTTACAGAAAGCAACAAAAGGCAGCAAGATGGGATGGCTTTCCTGAGCTTCATGGTTGTGACATCACTGTAGGGCATGCCTTCATGTCTGTTATTCTGGTTCTCTTACACAACCCTTGCCCAGTTGAAGGGAAGTAAAAACAAATCCATAAGACCCAGTACAAGGCAATTCGACACCAAGCTCCAATTGATGGGTCACTGTACTGCTTCAGGGCGCTGGGTACAATGAGCCTAACACTCAAGGAGAAATGCATGATCCTCCAAATCTTTTTTTCTTTAACTTAAAAAAATGTTTTATTTTTATTTTATATTGCCTGTGTGGATGTAAGTGCACCCGTGTCATGCAATGCCTGCATACAAAAGAGGACACTGAATCTCCTGGAAATGGAGTTAAACAGTTATTAGACGCCATGTAGGTGTTGAGATTCAAACCTAAGTCTTCTTCAAGAACAGCCAGTGCTCTTAATCACTGAGCCACCTCTCCAGCCCCACGATCCTCCAAATCTTATCTTAGAGAGGTCCTCCTGTTCTTCCCAGTTGAGCCCTTGGAGAAGGCATGGCCAGGTGGACGTGGCAAAGCCAAGGCAGTATAAACTTCAGGTGCCATGTGGCTTTGAGGGGTGGAATGCATTTTGAAAGGTCTGGTAGGGATGGCTATTGGAGACCAGACACTGCATGCACCTTGTTCAGAGCCGCTGGCTTTCAATTGTTACCAAGAAGAAAAAAATATCATCATCTGGGGCTCCCGGCTCATGATGGAAGCAGCAGCAGATCTCTGGATGATAGCAGTTTAGCCTAAATGAGAACATTTCTTGGCAGAATCATAGGTTCCAGGGCCACTACCACTGGGCATCAGTTCAACTTCTATCATTCAAATTTCCAGCCAAGTAATTTTAAACACTAATAAACTTTAATAAATGAAGCCATCTTAAGTTTTATAAATATCTAATTTATAGTTTAAGCTTCTTACCCCAGCCCCCAAGGCTGACTTTCCTAGTGGTTTCAAGACAAGTCCTTACCACTCACTCCCTAACACCCCAGGAAGGAAACACAGGTGATATCCTTATTTGTCCATTTCACAAATAAAGATCTTCAGTTTAAACTAATTCCTATTATACCAAGCTCAGTAATTACTGAGTTTTCAGATTCTGTCATCCTTATTAAAAATATATAAATAGTTCTAGGAATAAGTGCATCATTAAATGTAACATAACTTCCTTGTAGTTGTGATTTTGAGCCCTTTCCCAACCTTAAAAACTCTAGACAGAAACAGTGTGATGGCATCCACCTGTGATCTCAGCCAACTGGGAGGTGGAGGCTGGAGGAGCAGTTGTTCACACGCAGCCTTTGGTAAAGCCCAAATTCAAAACCAGCCTGGGCTACACAAAACCCTGTGTCAAAAACAAACGAAACAAAATAACAAAACACAGAAAACAAACTGACATGGGGTAAACTCATTGAGAGATCAGGAACACTAATACGTTTCGATTGTATTTAGAAGTTTAGCAAGGCAGCGACTCAAGTAGGTTTTTAGTTTTAAGCAAAACAATATAAATCTAGAGGAAAAAACTTAATGCCCAAGGCAGTCAGTGCAAAATAAAGTACACAACATCACATGTACCTTTTCATGACTGTGGATTCCCATATTTTTCTTTGAAAAAATTAAAAAAAAATTTCGAGCCGCGCGTAGTGGCGCACGCCTTTAGTTCCAGCACTGGGGAGGCAGAGGCAGGTGGATCTCTGTGAATTGGAGGCCAGCCTGGTCTACATAGTGAGTTCTAGGACAGCTGGGGCTACAGGGAGACCCTGTCTCAAAAAGAAAAAAAAAAATTCTTATGCATTTTAAGTTCCTAGACTACCAGGATATTGACACAGTTGATGGTGCTATTTCGAATACTAAGATGACTGAATTTCGCTGAAAACCACAAAGGAAACCAAGAGTCCCACATTACTACTTCATATAACCCCATCAAACAGGAAATAGAAGGGGGAAATTAAGAGTTTTGATAAGGCAGAAGTGACTGGCAGGAGAGCCTCGAGGTCCAGCTTCTCTAGAGCATCGTCCACTTCTGAACACTCTAATCGTGGCTTCTCCACTTTCCGGGTCCCAGCCTCAGTTTCCCCAGCTGTCAAGCAGAGTCACTGAGCCAGTACAGGTTCCCCTATGACCTGGATCAAGGAAGACTACGCGGTCCCCGGCTAAGTGAAAGCCACCATTCCCGGGAACGTTGCCAACACGCTGGGCTTCGGATCCCCTCCCGGCGAGGCTGGTTCCACCTACAGTCAACAGGAAGCTCCTGGGGCAGGGACAGGATCCCAGCCTCGGAAAGAGGCCAGACGGGAACGTTTTTGGCCAGCGACCAGGGTGGCAGCACCGCCCCCGGCTCCCGCGGACCGACCGATGGTGCTATCAGCGACCGAGGGTGCGGAAGCCCAGTACCGAGAAGCCAAGTTCGCCCCTAACCCGCCCCCTGGCCTCCCCCGACCCAGCAAAGCCCTGGAGCCCTAGGTCCGGGAAAAGACAGGCAGAGGCCGGCCCGAGAGCCCGTTCAGCGGCCGCGGAAGCGGGAGCGCGGGCAGGCGGGGAGCCGCGGGCGGAGCGAGCGCCGCTTTCTCCTCACGCCCCCTCGGCAGCCTGCCCGGCCCCCGCCGCCATGTTGAGCTGACACGGCCAAGCCTCCAAGCGTGCCCGCCGACCCCGGCGGGAAGCCCGCGCCGGAAGGTGCTCCAGGCCGGCCGCGGCGCGCGAGTTCCGGTGGGCGGCGCGCAGGTAGCCTCGGCCCCCGCCCCCTGCGCACCGCCCGCGAAGGGAGCGGAGGGGCGGGGCGGGCCGCGAGGGGGAGCGGGGAGGAGGAGGAGAGGGAAGGAGGGAGGCCGCGCGGTGGGGGCGCCGGGAATTCCCTCCTCCTTAACCTACGCGTCCCGGGCGGGCTGTGAGGGCTACGCTGCTGCTCCAGCGACCCGGAGGTGGAGGACGGAGCGGGCCCCGCGGGCGTGCGCTCGGTCCGCCGCCTTCACCCGTCGCCGCGACCGATGCGAGCGCTGCCGGAGGGCAGGTAAGTCCGGGCGGGCTAGGCCCCGACGCCTGTCCTTCCGTCCCGCCGTCCTCCGTCTCCCGGGGGGCGCCGCCGGCAGTCTGGAAGTTGTGAAGAAACTTCTCCCCTCCCCGGGCGCGGCGTTGCGCGGACGGCGGGCGAGTCTGCCAGCCGCACTACCTGCTCGCCCTCCGCCTGCTCCCCGCCCCGTCCAATGCTTCCCGGCCCGCCCAAGTCCCACTCCAGGTCCGCCCCGCGTCCTGGCTCCCGCTGCACGGCGTCCTAAAGGCCAGGGGGGCAAGCTTGCTCCCGGCCCCCACGTCGGAGCCGGAGGCGAGGGACGCGGCCCCTTTCACGTCTTTGCCTCCCGACGCCCGCGGGCGCTGTAACGAGCGGGGCCCAGGGTGTGGACTGAGCGGGTGAGCCGCGGGCTGCGCTGGGTTTGATTGAAAACCGCAACATGTTTAAAGTTTTCCTTTGTTTTGGGTTGGGGTGGGGAAGTGTACCCTTCAGCGGCCACTTTTCGGGGTATCCTGCCAGTTCGCCTCCTGTGGGGTGCGGTTTTCTTGTCCTGTGTTAAGAAAATTTTGTTTGAAAGTGTGCTTTTCTTGATAATTGCTTCCAGCTTTTGCTTTATTGGGCATGGGGCAGAGTTATTTTAAGAAAGTTGGAAAATCATGTCTGGTGTAGGAACTGCTTTGATTTTTGTTTTGTAGTGATGGAACGCAGAGTAGTACCAATTTGGTTATTATTTTTTTGCATAATTCACACAGTCGTGGAATAGCTACGATCTAGTAACAGTTATCTGAGGAAATAACTGAAAAGTCTAGCAGAACCACTTTACAGTTATGCCACTGTGTATGTGATCCACTGGTGTGTGTTTTTCACGTAGAAGACTTCATGATGCTGTGGGAGTTTTTGTGCATTATAATGTAGGATTGGTCTGCCACAAGTATCTTGGTGATTCAAAGTGCATTTAAACTTTTAAATCTGTAAGCTTAAATTACCAAGGAAAATATTACTGTGTCATGTGACTATATGCATTTAAGGTAAAATACATGCTAAATCAATAATTTTAACTAGCACAGTGCTTGGCACACAGTGGAGAGGAAACATTTTGAATGGACAGATAATAAAGGTATGTTGACTTAAAAGCCAAGGATGTTGTATGCATCACATGTGATATATATATATATGTATATATATATGTATATATATGTATATACCTCAGAACCTTTGTTGTCACTAAGACTTTTTTTCTCTCTTGCTATGTCAGCATTTAGCTGTATTGGAATTTTTGGACACTAGCTTAACCTCAGTGAGGAATTTAAATGCTGGTTGACATTTCAGAGGGTCCTAAATTTGAAAAAAAAAAAATGCCTTTGATTAAAATCTAAATACAAGACAGTTATATCCGTGTTTCCAGGATAAGCGATAGAATGGCTCTTAAAATATGTACTTTGCTATAACCACTGTAATGCTATAATAGCATTAATTTTGCAGCTAGTTTTTGCTGACTTCACAAACCACAAAATTGACTCCTTTCTGTTCAACTGAAAGTGAAATTGCAGCCTTGACCTGTCTTCCTGGGATAGGTGGAATTTGTCTTATGGTCAAAGTGTAATATTAATACATTGTCAAAATATTTTTTTTTAGTTGAGGAAATTCTCAAGCTGAAAAACCTCAATGTCTATGCAAATTGATTCTACTTCAGTGTGTATATAATGATAAAAGAATAAATACACTAAAAGAAGAGCAGTGACCCTGTCTGTGTATGTGAACTATTACCAGCCCACAGTTTAAGACTTGTTTATTTGAAGTTCAGATTTGCATCATTTTAAGCAGTAAATAGTTTATTACTGTGAGAAATTTTTCTTTAAAAATACATTTAGCTGTCAGTCCAGTGAGTCATTTCAGAGGCCACCGTTCATTAGTCCTATTATCATTGTAGGAGGAAAGAAACCTAATCAAGTTTCTTTGAAAAGCATTGCTGGGCTCTGATGTCTAGGAATGCAAACTTGAGTGATACGCTATATTTTCAAAAACTGCAAGGAAGTGATTCATTAATAACAGCTACAGAGGGAGAGAGGCAGCAGCGTTGGGGACCTGGCTCCTGAATTGGTGCCCAATTTCTAACCTGGCGGTGGTCACAGGGGTGTTGGTCTTAATTGATCTGTAAAGCCATGTGTTTCTTTTGTGTTTCTCTGTAGCTGAGTTTTATTTTACATGAAACTTTCTTTTTAAAGGCACTTGTGTGTAATGTAGAATAGATGTCCATAGGCTAAGTTAAGGATTTAATATTTGGGATACTCAGGTTTCTCTTCAGATCATGTAATCTTTCCTTTTTTTTACTGGGGGTTCAGTCATTCGTAAATGACTTCGGAATACCTCTCCTTTGCTAACAGGATTAGACCTACTAAATCATAATGGTCATATGCCAGCCTGTGTAAAGTTTAACAGCCTTGAAAATGTTGGGTAGTCACTTCCAAATGTATGATTATTAGGACATTTTGAGAAAAGCATTTCTAATAAAGTTCTGGGTTTTCTTAAATGTTATTTTAAATATTTTGAGGGAAGACATTTACTTTAAATGTTTTAGGTGGCAAATAGTAAGCAAAATGTTTATACAATGAATGGATATCGTTCTGTTACCAAGTACCCTATTTTCTCAGAAAATTAGGTAATAACAAAATTCGTAACTTTATGGCGTTCAAAGTATCCTAAGTCTTGGCTTTCATTCAGTTTTTTTCTAGAGTAATGATGCTCTAGATCAGTAATTTCAGCCTTAGTTCTGCTGTTCTCATGAAATTCTTGGTGTGAAGTTGGTTTCCCTAGTTGCACTTGGGAAGGTAAGGTGTACAGAGCCCAAAGGGACCCGACGGTTTTATTGCTAAAGAAAGCCGTGATTGGTGTTGTGCTTCAGAAACGCTGAGAATCACTGCCTTGTGTTGCTTTGTTTGTTTTGATGTTGGCTTGCTGTTTTAGCTGTCGATGTTGCCTTGCATTGTTGTAATGGAGCATTGAAGAGATTGTACCTGTGCCAAATTCTTATATCACAGGAACTTTGTCATGTTATGAAGGTGTTTGTGGCTCTGGCTTTGTTGTGTGAATATTTACAGGAAGTTTTAGTAAGATCTTCCATTGTTCAGAAGGCTACATGGCTAGGTCACCTTCAGTTCACATTTAAACTGGTTTGTAATATAAATACAAGTCCTCTAGCAAGATACAAATACTTTTCTGTAAAGGAAATGCTCTGTTCCTATGGCCGTACCTTGGTTTCTTATTGGTAGTGTGCACAGCAGTTTGCGTATGGCTACGTGAGAGCATGTATTTTCTTTTTTCTTCCTCTCAGCTGCTCCAGTGCCACAATTAGCTGAGCATTGCTCAGCTGCAGCTGCTGGTGATTATGAACCACCCAGCTCCTGTCTAAACTCAGAGGCAGATTTAGCAAAAGAAGCTATAGTAACCGCGGAGAACGAAAGAGAAGAGCCAGTGCTGCTGCCAGGATCATTTGAGCATGTCTGTGCCAAGGAGTCCTTAGCTGCCGCAGCACTACCGTTGTCTTGGAACTAGCAGACTTGATGGCAGCATATCTTGATCTGAGTTGTGTTTACCTTGAAGATCTTGAAGCCTACTCTAAGAAAGACGAAGGATCCTGCAATTTCAGAGTAATATGACATTCTGATGGCCTGAATTACAAGCCTCAGTGCCTCAGCAACTCCTTGTCCTCCAGACTCGGTCAGGTAGCAGTGCCCTTCCGTTTCTCTTGTTTGGTTTCTTGAAGTATATACCATATATTCCAATCTGCTTTTAACTGGGATTTTTAGGACAGCTGCTATTACTGTTTGGGGAATGGCAGGATTGCTGATGGCATTCATCAAACTCTACTTCCTTCCCAAAAGTAGGCTAGTGAGAGGGGTTCTTTCTAGTAGTTTCCCATAGCTTATTCCAGTTTGCACAGATCTTGCAAGTAGGAAACCTAAATTCCGTTTTTCCTTTTCTCTTACTGTTGGTGTTTGAGAAGATGAGCAAATGCAGATACTAGCCATACATGGTGGTCTGTGCTTCCACTTACTGGGGAGGTGGGAGGATTGGGAATTCAAGACCAGCCTAGACCATTTAGTGATACCTTGTCTCAAAAATAAAACAAGAGGGCCAGGCCTTTAGTCCCAGCAATTGGGAGGCAGAGGCAGGTGAATCTCTCTGAGTTCAAGACCAGCCTGGTCTACATAGCTAACGCCAGTCCAGCTGGGGCTGTAGGAAGACTGTCTCAAAAAAAAGCAAATCAAGGAGCTTTTATTTAATCCCTGAGAACAGCCCTAGCACAATAAAGAAGTAAAAAAATTTTTACATGTATTTATTCAGTGAGGGGGAGTTGCACATGTGGGGAAAGAGAGAGAGAGAAAGAGAGAGAGAGAGAGAGAGAGAGAGAGAGAGAGAGAGAGAGAGAGAGAGAGAGAGAGGTGTGAGAGGACAACCTTGTGGGACCCAGGTCATCAGGATTGGCAGCCAAGTGCCTCTACCAATAATTTAAACAGCCTTGCAAATGTGAAATTAAAGGTCATTTAAATTTTTTTCTATGTAAAGTAGAAACTTTGTAATTGAATTAAACTAATCTTTAGAACGTTTATTGTAAAGAAATACATTTTACAGTTTCAGTGAATTATAGGCCAAGTTATAACAGATAATCCTAGTTTTTCTGAAATGCATTTGGTATTGTGTCATACTAACAGTGTTATAACTTATGTTTGTGTCCCCTTAGGATGAAAGGAAGAAGGCCTCATTTCTTAACTGTGATGTGTGTAAAGGAATGCATAGTTCTTGGGATACATCTGCTGGGGTCATGGGGGTGGGGTAGAGACAGGAAGTGCTGGAAGGAAAGTACTGACCACTGAGACTTAAAGATTGTTGGTTTTCAGCTCTTGTTCCTAACAGTATATGTAGACTCTTGTTTTCAGTAGACTACAAAGGATAGTCATCTCTGCCTCCTCCTCCTGCTCCACCACCACCACCACCACCACTACCACCATCACCCTCAGCTTCTTAGCATTCTCTAGAAGTTGGAGTGAGGAGGAAAGAGTTGATGGCCTCCATATATAGGTTAATCTTAAAATTGTTCAACCGTAAATTTTATTGATTTCTAACCTTTGTTCTCATATGGTTAGTCTTTTACAGATAAGGATACTTTTTTACAGATAAGGATACTTTAAAATAATGGCAGTCAGGTGTTTGGAAAGGAGCAAAGAAGGAAATGTATAATAAGGAAAGAATTAGAAATGATGAGCTTTTTAAAAAAGTTAAGGTTTCATTCCATTTCTGCAACTTTGGTCAACTATACTTCTTAGGCAAGAGGTAATTGGGCAGATAGTTTCTGTTAGCTTTTGGACCTTTTATAAATGTGTGCTTAGCTATAGTTGAAGTTTTTGTAACATTGATAAAATTTTATGAAAATGTCTTAAGTTAAAAATCTGACCCAGGGACTTGACATTGAACTTAAGTAAATACGGTGTTACTGGGTCCATTAAATGGACACTTATTAACCCTATTGTGACAAAAATTCTGTTAATTTTGATATAAAAATCTTGTAACCTGACTACTGTTTTCTAGGAATTCACAGTTGATAGAATTGGCTATAATTATGTGGCTGCTGTAAATAGGTAGATTTTTTTTTTTTTAGTGTGATAATTTCTTATAATGGTTTTGGATTTTGATGGTATTAAGTGTGTGATATTTCAGAAACTTCAATACATCCCTTTTCACCAGATAGATTTAGCCTCAAGTAAATTGATTCAGCTAGCTAGGCAGGAAAGCTAGATTGAATATTTCCTAAACATTAGTTCATTACAGATAGCTATGACTCAGCTATCAGACTCCACAGTACTCCTCTAGACACAATTAAATACAAGACTTTAAAAAATATTTCATGGTTATGATAGACAGTGTTAGGAGATTGACTTCTTTTTCAGTTTTTGTTTGTTTGGTTTTGTTTTGTTTTGAGACAGGGTCTCCTTGTAGCCCCAGCTGATCTGGAACTTCCTACGTAGACCAGGCTGGCCTTGATCTCACAGAGATCCGCCTGCCTCCTCTCCTGTGTGTTGGGGGGATATGATGGTGATAGATTTCTTAATTGTCCTCTGAAATAGTTAACTGTGATGTCAGCTCTTAGGCGATCATGGCTGTTTGGATGAGGACTTTGCCATATTGTATAAGGAAATTCTCATTCAACATCATGTTTAATTTTTAAAAATTGTATATTCGTTATTATGGAGATTAACGGGCATCAGGCTTGCAGGGTGCCCATGACCTCATAGCCCCAAATTAAAAAAAAAAATTTTTTTATTGACAAAGTATAAAATACTTGTTCTGCTTATTTTCATTAACACTTGTAACTAATATTTGAAACACAGCAAGCATAGATGTGAGAAAAGTCTTTGCCCTTGAAGGTTTGCAGAACAGGCTTCCTAGAAGTAAAATTGCAAGTAGAATATGTTCCCAAAGCTTATCAATCAGTTTTTTGAAAATGAAATCTTGTTTCCACAGAGTTTTTTGCTGTAATGGAGCCTATCTGGTTTGACTTATATGTAGCCCATTAGAATTAACCTGTAAAACCCTAGCAAACAAGTATAACAGGGTTTTGGTAGTAAATGTGTTTTATTTTTTTCAATTTTTGTTTTTTAAAATCTATGCTCTTTGAGCAGGCGAAATATTTGGTCTACAAATGCTCTAATTATGAGGTGAATGACTGTTGTCTTTTCAGGCATCCCCCTTCCCACTCTCCCCATCCTACTGTGGAGTCACTAAGACTCTTCTAGTGAGCCCCCCCTGTGAGGCTGACTTTGAGTAAGGCAGTTTTCCTAGGCACTTCCACCTGCTTATTAAGCTTTTTGATACCTGCCACCGCCCCTAACCCTACAGGATAGAGTGAAGCTTCAAAAGATGAGTAGAGCTGAAGAACTATGGCAGTTGATCACTACTGGGTGAGGAAGAGTTGATCTTCTTTAAGGGAGTGATGCTAGATAGGCTGAACAGGCTCCGGTGGATGAACTCCACACCAAGGGACATCTGGGGACACAAACTTGACTCATATACAACAGAATGCATGAAATCTGGCTGGGGGGGTTTGTGTGGGGTACAGATAGGGGAGGGGGGCCTAAATATGATCAAGATGTGTGAAATACATAAAAGTTCAATAAAAAATTTAAAAGAAATAAATAAGCATTTTTTAAAAATACTTTATTATTTTTTATTTTATGTGCATGCATGTATTGTCTGCATGTTGGTAAATGCACCCATGTTGTGCAGTGCCCACAGAGGATAGAAAAGGCTGTCAAATCCCCTGGAACTGGAGTTACAGACAGTTGTTAGCTGCCATGTGGGTGCTGGGATTCGAACCCAGGTCTTCTGCAAGAACAGTCAGTGTTCTTAACCGCTGAGCCATCTCTCCAGCCCAAGCTTTTTTTTTTTAAGTGAGTAGGCAAAGCTTGGAAAAATGATGAGTGATATGATTTGGAACTTTTAACTTTCCCTTTTTGTCCCTTTCTATATTCTGTCTATTCATTTCTAGTTGTAGGTATTGGGTGATGAAACTAGTCTATTTTATGGCAGGTTTGTTGGGATGCTATATATACTTAAACATGAATCATCACATTTAATTGGAAAGTTTGGAATATGTTTCTAAATGTACAGAAAAGTCATGGAGGACATTATAGATGGAGCACCTGAGGATCAGAAAGTATGTGTGGTTTACCAAGGTATATAACCTAACCAGTAGATTGAGTAGAACTGGGATTTGGATCTAGACTTTTATTCCTTAGGAATGAGAAACAATGATGGAAAGAGGGTTTTCTTATCCTTTTCCATCTATTAAATTGTATACTTGAACAAGGGAAGAGAAGAAATTTCAATTACTTAACACATTAAAAAATTATGCATGGTTCGCCATGTGTCCCAGGCTGGCCTTGAAGTAACTGTAGTCCGAGCTGGCCTCAAATTCTCAATCTTCCAGCCTTGAGTTTTTGCTTCCCAAGGGCTGGGCTCACAGGCATGTGCCAGCTGTACTTGATTCTTATACTTTTCTTTTTAATGGGAGTAGCTTTGCAATATAGTTCCATAACAAAAAAAGGTCATAAACTCATTAGGAGAAAAATGCGGTTAATCACACCAACTAAATTTAAGCATATGTTACAGTTTGGTAAATTTGGGTTTGACATGGAAATGATACAAGGATTCTTTATAAATGTCTAGCCCAAATTAACAGACAGTTGTTAGCATGTTTTCCCAGTCAGGTTTGTTTCCTGTCTAAATTTAATTGCCAGAAAGAACAAAGAAGCATGCCAAAAGATGACTAATTACATTTAATCCAGCAGATGCTACCCTGTTAGGTTTAGGTCCCTAGACTCTATGTAGTGTGTGTGTGTGTGTGTGTGTGTGTGTGTGTGTGTGTGTGTGTGTGTGTGTGTGTGTGGTGTACAGTCAAGCTCCTTGGTCGTGTAAAATCCCATAGAAACAGAATAGTTACAAACGTATACATATGACTTGTACTCAAATCTAACTCTTCTGACTCAGATGGTTAATGCTAATAAATAATATTGCCTTCAACTCTAAGTTGTATCATTTATTCCTAGAGGAGTTAGTAGAAACAAATGACATTTTAAATATATGCTAAACAAAGAGGTATTTTCTAATTTGCCCAGTTTTAGGATAGTGAATTCTTATTTGTACACACTTACCAACCATTCAAGGC